GATCTTGTTCGCGATGGGTTCTGGTGTCACGCCGAACCAGGCGTCTTCTGTCATCCATATGCCTTGGTCATACTTTTCCCATATCTTGAACCGCTGGTGCCAATATCTGATATTGTTAGAATTCAAGAATCTCTGAGAGTGGAAGAAATGGGCTGTACTTCTTCAAATGTTCGGGGAACTGTTCGACACGCGACCATTGGTCTACGCCTTTCTCACCCGCCGTCTCACTCATATCCCCAGCAAACGCGATGCACTAAGTTGTGAGAGTAGCCTGATTTGAGAAGCCACAGGTAATGGGTCTTGACTTCAGAAGATGTGTGGATGATGAGGTGACCGAGCAGATACTGTGGAAGAGTGAGAGCAATCCTGATACGCCTTACCTGATTAGGAATAGTTCCGACCGACGCGACTGCCTACTCAGACAGTGAGTGCTATACGTGGCGGTACATGTAATTTGGTCACTACAGATGATCATGTTCCGAATTTTGCATCCTGAACTACAACTACCTCCGATTCAACTTTAACCACACATTGCCATCCTCACTGCACCTGCCCCAGCTAGCGCGCCGCAGATCCCGAGCTATGGCCACCTTCCAAAACCTCCAAGTCACCAACAACGACACCTCGACCAACACAACTTCTCTGTCGTCATCACCATACGACAACTTTTTGAAGGAACCATCAGAATCACCACCTCTCATCATGTCCATGTTCGGAGCGTTGAACCGCTTCATATCGCGACTAGACGCCGCGCCCCTCAACGAAGAGCAGCAGTCCGCTACGAATGGCGCATACGGCTTCCAGGTGCTGAGGAACGCTAATCTAGATGTTCCTCTGGAGCCGTGGTTCGATTTTATTATTGGAATCAATGGAAGAACCATTGTACGTATTTTCCATTCGGTTGAAAGATATCAGCAAAGGGATGCAAGAGCGGGAGAAGATAGACGATGGCGAAGCGGGGGTCAGCTCCTAGGCAAGATTGGATGGACTGGAAACAAGAAGACCACCTTGACTTTGTACTAACTCTGTGAACAGGATAATCCAGACCCAAGTCTCTTTGCGACAGAGGTACGGAACAGTGCTGGTGCGACCATCAGCCTAGGTGTATTCAGCGCAAAGGTAGGTTCTAAGTACCCCTTCTCATACCACGATACATTCGAGATGCCATGAGTCATTGTCCAATTTCACATTATACATTTGCAAGGAAGTACAACCACAGAAGGTCGGGAGAACAAACGTCACAATTAACTTCACTCAATTGAACTATCTATACACGTCTGACACCATGTAGGGCCAAAAGATCCGAGAAGTTTATCTGCAAATCCCAGCCGATCAGCCGACTCTAGGGATCTCCTTGCAGTGGTCTCCATTGGCCATCGCGGAGGATGTCTGGCATATCCTAGACGTGGCTCCCAATTCCCCCGCTGATGCCGCAGGGTTGCTACCCTATGGTGACTACGTCATCGGCAGCCCCGAGGGACTTGTGCGCGGCGAGTCTGGCTTAGGTGAACTCGTGGAAGACTTCCTAAACAGGCCATTGCGGCTGTACGTGTATAACCACGAATACAACGTGACTCGTCCCGTTACCATCACGCCGACGCGCAATTGGGGTGGTGAGGGAGCCTTAGGGTGTGTGCTGGGTTTTGGGGCTTTGCATCGAATTCCAGCGGGCTTGGACGAGCCGCCGCCGGCGCCTGGCGAGACCTTCTTCTCCACAGGCGATGCTAGCGGGGCCACGTCGTTTGATGAGAAACGTCCTTTGACTGGCTCTGTTGATTTCCCCACTGCGCCAACGCAGGGTGCACCGACAGAGTTGTTCGTGCCAGCCAACATGGCGCTACCGGCAAAGTCACCACCACCTCAGGGCACGGCGCCGCCGCCAAAGAGGAAGGGCAGAGCGCATCATGTCGCTAGCCCTGCAAGTGGTGGGGGCGGTGGCTTGGACGACTACTTCAAGGAGGGAGAGCAAAAGAGTCTGGAGCAAGACTATGCGCCCAAGAAAGGCTCTGGTGTACCACCGCCTCCCAAGGTTGGTGGTCCGCCTAGAGGCCCGCCGAAGAGTGGGAGTGCGAGCAGGACAGGCACTCCAATGCAAGGTGACGGCAATGCAGATAGTGCAGCAGACTCAGAAGCATAAACTTGGCTTGAAGTTAGCAAATGTCATCTTAGGAACAATGAATGACGACATACCTTTGAGAACACACGTCTCTTTACTCAATCCTCAGCCTCAAAGTCTAGCTCTTCCCTGAACCGACTCAGCCTGCGCTGCTTCTTCTCCTCTACACTCTCGTTGCTGGCATTGCTTCCTTGAGTCATGTAGGAGTCGACTCTGGTCTGTACTTCGGGTCGCTTGACTGCTCCACTCACACCGCCTTCTTTGCGCCCGCTGATCCTCTCGAAGGAAGACACTTGCGGTGAGGTGGGCGATCCATCTGGTGATGTTTCCGGAGAGGAAGATGGAGAGAGCGAGGTTTTGATTTTGGTCGTCAATGTACGGAAGATGGGCATGTTGGGCGGTTGCTGTAAGTATTGGTCGTAGTGTTTCGGTTGCGATTGTCGTTGATTGGGGTTTGGTGTCAGGTGGTTGGTAGATGGTAGTAGTATGCGGACCCGAGTATTTGCATGTATCGAATTGAACAAGTAACTGGTGTTATTTGCAATGCGATAGGCAAAAAAGAAGCAAAAGGTATGTGTCGACAAACGGTAATATCCCAACGAGAGGAGCACCAACAACGCGAGGCACGCGACCACTAAATACCCTTTCCCCCACCACACACACACCTCTACCCGACGCATAACAGTCATCCCAAAGCAGCCTACAGCACCCCAGCATACCACGTCAGGGGCCGGGCGCCACGCAGGGCTATACCCAATCCGCGCCGCTCCCACAGCCGCAGCAACCCAACTGTCAATAAACAGGCGCAGTAGTTTCAAACCGCGGGTTCCATGCAAACCACAAAACGAGTGTGCGTCTAGACCGGCATGCTATGGACTTTGTCGATTAATGTGGGTACTCGGGTTGACGATGCAAGGCCAGACCCTGCGCTAGCCATCGCCGATCCCACATTAACCTCGTTCCTGAGCTTGCAAGGAGATCACATGGCTGCAAGGTCATACCCGCAGCGCAGGGCGATCGCATTTGTTCTGCGCGATCATGGCAAAGAGGCATGGACTACTTTTCTTCCATAATTTCCTTGATTGTTGAGACCAAGCTTTTCCCGTTCAACGCTGATCGCACACGTTGCCTAGGTGTATGCCCAGCGCCGATGCGTCGCCGGAAGCAGTTGGCGTTTTAGACTCACCGTCGCAGGATACGCTGTGTCGATGCGGTCAAGTAGAGCGATTGGCTGCACGGCGGGGTAAAAGGAGAAGGGCTTGGCCTTTTTTCCGCTGGCGAAGACGCACTACACCGCCATATGTGCTTTGCCGGCTTTAAGCTTTGGGGTTGCTGTGATTGGAGCACGTTGGCAGTAAAGGCGTTGAGTTGACAGCAGGAAACATTGTCGAGGCAGTCGTCCGCATGACTGCACACTCAATCTCCCAAAAGAGCGTCACGAGTCCAGCACCCGGCCAACCTTCTGCCCTCCTTGCACCAACCCTTTGGATCGCCGCACATCGGGTGTAACGAGAGAATCGATGATGGGGGATATCGAAGGCGCTCAGCGCAGGAATACAGAACAAAACATTCCCGGCCGTCCTTACAAGTCGGCCATTGCTCCGCTCCGCGGCACCCCTTTGCATCGCGACGACGGCGCCACGTCCGTTGCTTCCCGAGGCCGACGCTTTCATTCACACACAGTTATCCACATCGCTCTTGTCCCTGCAGCGACAATGGCCAAAATAGACATATACCGTTCTGCGCCAGATGGAACACCTCCCGCTTTCAAACGTTGAGGTGGCTCGTAATCTCCACCCTCGTGTTCTTCGTAATCCAGGATTCTGGACTTCTAGACCGCTCAGAGCTTGAATCATGTGGGAAGCAGTCGTTCCGAGTAGTGTTGCGTCCGGCAATGACGGGAGGCTCCACCCTTTCGAGCGGCTGACACCTGACGTACGACATCCACCCGGGCGAACATGAACCATGGTTCCTTCACCGCATTATTACACTGCCGAAGTGGTTCCAAATCGGGCCCACGTAAATCCCTGAGCAAGCCCTGTTGACGCTGACTGAGCACTACGTCAACATGGACGTGGAAACAATTGCGCAATAGGCTCTGCGCAAGTCTGCTAGTGCAACAGCGGACTATGGTCGTGGAAACATAGAGTAGTGAAACGATAGGGGTGTAGGTACACCCAAGTATTGTATTCGCAGGCGAGTCTATCTCTGCGATCTCGTTGTGAGGGAAGGAGGCCCGGTCGAGTCCCTCGTAACATCCAAATCAAAACTCCGACTTGCTTTTCGAGCAGTCTTTTCCGAACAAGCCACCCAAAACAGACCATGTGAACGCCCATGTGGCTCGTGGAGCTAGCAATGATTGGCAGCAAGCGGAACCAGGCACGAGGCCAAGGGAAAGTATGGGGTACGCAAAAACAAACGCCAGATTATGATGTAATACCCAAAACGCCATAGTGAACCTTGCTTCATCTTATATCCAGCTGGAAGGGTTTGAACTTGGCCCCAATAGTGCTGCACCGCGGACACGTCGGCGCACGACCGCGGTTGTGCTCACTGACAAGTACATCTACACACTCTTGACACAGACCGCAAATGCATTCTGAGCATGCATAGCTGTCGCGCAATATCGACAGTTTCCGACATGCAGCGCAGTAGATCTGGACAGGGAAAAGAGAGCTAGGAGATGAATCGGAGAGACCTTGGGAATGCATGTGGAAGTTTTGGCCGGACATGGCTGATTCAATGGAAGACTCGACGGAAGGGAAAGGCTGAAGGTCCGACATATCCGGAGGTGGAGGCGTCAGAGCGTTATTCAAAGGTGATGCCGTGTATGACTGAAGTTGTGAAGCAAAGTTGAAGGGAGGTAGAGAGGTTCTGTTGTTCATCATGTGAGGGGATTGGTTTGGCGACTGTGGCACCTGTTCATGTTAGATAGAATAGCGTAGCAGAGTGTGACACCAACCGGCGTGAGATCTCGGCTATCCTCTTCTGTGGCTGAAGCAGCAGCATCAATCAAGTCTTCCCACCGTTTACCCATAATGGCCGCAGCGGTTGCCGGCTCAGCCGAGTATGCTTTCCTGTCGTAGCTCAGCCTGCGCGAGTAGTCCTTGGACTTCTGCCGCTCGTGTTTGCCCTTACGAGCATTCTGTCCTACAGATGACTTCCGGGGTCTGTTCGGTTTGAGAGAGTGAGCGCCAGGAGGGAGAGTGGAGGAACGCCCGGGAGGCGATCGTGCGAGGGAGGAGGGGAGCAGCTCTTGCTGTATGGAAGTAGATGTGTAGTAAGGTTCTTCGGCATTGATGTGTTGTTCTATGGTGGTCGGAGCGAATCGTGCGCGAGGCCTGTAGTTCTTTGAATCGGGATCGGATGCTGCGTCCTGTTCACAGCAGTTGTTAGCCTGGTGTGCGGGGAAGGTGCAACGCGGGTCCATACCGGATCTGAGTCCCAGTCGTACTCGGCACGATGGTTGTGTAACGAGGCCAGGGCAGCCGCAGCAGTCGCGGCGGGTAAGAGTGACGGCCGGCGCATTTCGTCCGATGTGCGAAGATGATTCGTCCCGAAGTCGGTCTCGAAGAAGGAGTTGTGTTCGCTTCCGCCATAGTCGTACGTCTGCTGGGGCGGTGCTGAGGTCGTCGCAGGTGGAGGTGGGGGTCTTTCTTGCGGTGGTGTGTTGACCATAAGCATGAAGCTCTCCTGCAAGCGGAAACAGTCAGCAGCGTATTCGGCCAGCGCTGGCCGTGGACAAGCCTACCTCAGTCGCCGGCAACTTGGAGATGTAGTGCTCAGGATGGGCGCGGCGGATGTGCTCCTGCATGGACCGGAAACGCTTCTCCTACGCATGTGTTAGTCTGCACCCCAGAGCTCTGGAGCTTTGGAGCTTGCTGTAACGTGAAGCAACAGCGGGAGAGACTTACCCCGGTGCAGCGCTTGCGACAGGCCGAGCTGTCGTGGTTTCGCAGCGGGCATACTACGACATTGTTCTCGTCGCTGACGGAGAAGGAGCTCGTCAGCGGTGCTGCGCGCGACGGAGGCATGGCTGCGAGCATCAATGGCAGGAGCTTCGCGACGAAGCAATGGCACGTGGAAAGCGAGGCGCTGGGACGGGGAAGCTCAGTCCGAGCTTGCGCAGCTGAGGGGGGAGGCTACAGTGACGGCAGGAGCGGGTGTGGTGACTACGGCGGGTGGAAGAAGCTCTGAGCTGAAGTTGCTGCTACTGCGGATAGACGTAACTGGATGCGGGGCAGCTGCGAACGGCGGCGGGGCTTGGAGAGAAAGTGATCAAGTAGAGGCTGTGTTCAGGAATCACGATTGACCATGTGGAAGAAGAAGCAATGGTACTGCACCGCTGTCGTGAGGGTAGAACTGTATCGCCACGACAAGCTCGAGCGGAGGAGCAATTAGACGGCTGCCCTGGAGCTGAGGCGAAGAAGCTGATAGCTTGGAGAGCTTCGTGCTGCCCAATGACCTACCGCTTGAATGGGGATTTGCGCGCTCCAATCAGAGATGGCTGGGAGCAAGACGACTCATAATCAGCTAGACGGCGCAGAAGCCTCCTCCCAGCTCAAGTCCCGTGCATGCAAAGAATTTTGACCAATGCGATCTACTGCTCGGACTCTTCACCAGGACATCGGCTGCGGCGCCATGAAGATTTTTGCTCCTCAGATGCCGAGCTAAAGCCAGTTTCGGCCGGCGGCAGGTCCAGGAAGGCTGCACTTGGTTGCAGGGAGCTGCATCTACCACATTTCGGCAACAGACTTGGGGTGAGGTGGAAGGGTAGTGGGAAACGTCAGAGAAGAGAGGGACGGAGAGTGAAGAAGACGCACGAGAAGACGAGCTTTTGACGCGCCGGGGTGGAAATTGTTGAGTGACAGGAGCAGCGTGTTGCTACCTATGGCTTTCTAAACTCGTCACATGCACCTCGTCTGCACCTGCTGTTTCTCGTCCACGCTCGTCTGCGACTACCCTCTCGCGTCAACCTTCCAGCACAATTGCTTCTGCTGAGCGTTCCAAGGCGATGGCGCAAGCCCGCAATCATCATTGACATGGGCATCACAGACTGACACGGCAGCGCGTAGCCTGTCGCCTCGCCTCCCTTTCTTCATGTCTTACGTTGCCGTTACCCCGTCGTGCGCGTGGCCGACATTGTCTTGCACTTGTTCTTCGCTAGTATGGCTCTCTCCGTCGAGTCGCTGAATGGAGACACTTCTTTTCTCCTTACCTTTGACCCACCCGCTGCCCCACTATCGTCGCCGGGATTGTTCCCAGGATCGTTCACGATTCTGGTTGACCGTAAGTCTCTGAAGATCGCGCTTGATACCGCTGGAGGCCGACTTGTAGATGGGTGCTAATGTTTCCTGACCAGCCTGGCTTTCAGGGCCCTCCATCATCCTAAACTCCGTCTTCTCGCATTCTGTACAGAGAGCGAAACCATCCGTCGCGAGCCTGAGAGACCTTGACCGCGAACCCGACCTCGTGCTTATATCCCAAGACAAGCCAGACCACTGCCATGAAGCTACCTTGCGCCAACTCCCACCAGACTGCGAAGCAACTATTTTAGCCATACCGTCTGCGGCCAAGAAGATTCGCTCATGGAAACACTTTCGTCCCAGCCTTGTGCACGCTCTGCCGAAGTACGTCGAGGGAGATGGCCAGTCCATACACCGTATAGTATTACCGCCGCCGTCTCCCCGAGGGACATGTGGTGAGGTGACGGTGACTTGGATTCCAGCCAAGCGGGACCTTTCCAAGGTACATCACGCGATCGGGATAACATATCGGCCTCCTTGCACAGTACTCTCGTCGCTAAGCCCAATGCACTACATCAACCTGCCTATGAGTCCGCCCCCCTCTCCAGGATCGCCAATGACAATCGCCTCATCGCCCCGTACGTTGGTGCCGTCACCAAACAACGATCGAGAGAAGACCTTGTCTGTCATTTACTCACCTCACGGTGTTTCGTACGACGTGATTCGTCCCTACGCAAGCTCCTACCTTGTATCGGAATCCGCGCTTCCCCTCACAGCGCTTCTACATTCTTTTGACTGCGTTGAGAACCCTTGGTGGCTTGGAGGTAACATATCAGCTGGCAGTCCCGGTGGCACAGAGATCGCCAAGAGTCTGTATGCCAAAGCCTGGATATCTGCCCATGATGCAGACAAGGACAATCGGGGCTGGGCCGTCAAGTTGACTCAGATTGCACAGCACGCGGTTGACGAAGTGAAGAAGATGGTGGAAGAGGGTGTCATCAGGAAGACGCTGCCAAATACCGAAGTCTGTTCGCTGAGGGCCGGCGACAAGCATCGGATTGCTGTGGGATGAAGACAGCGCGGTTACTGCCTATTTACCAAGTCCTCCCAGCCATACACCGACTGCGCGATAAGGGTGTTTTGAGATTTGGCAGTCTCCATGTCGTCTCAGGTGCGACAAGGACTTTGAACTCGCCATTACTGGAGTCGCATGCTCAAGCATGGGTATATATGTTGGCGTGCAGGGCACATAAAGGGAAGCCAAAGATGGCTAGCGTGGAGAGCGCGGATCTTCAATGTTGGCCCCGAGTGCGCACTGCTCAACAGAGATGCACTGTCGAGTGTGAGGATGTTCCAGACTGGTCAGATGTGTCTACGCCTGGACATTGCGGGGAGGACATGTATTTGATGGAGCACTGGACCCTTACTTGGTCGCCCAGGTGTTGCGCATTCTGTGATGGGCGGACGAAAACAGGGCTGGGTTAGCCAGGAGATTGGGAGTGGAGCTGGAGCTAAATAGAGCCGAAGACAGACAAGTGGGCAGCGTGCGGCGCAGGGCAAGGCCGGCTCGCCTCCTCTGTTGTCCGGTGCTCGGGGCGACAACGTGGGCTGCATGGATGGGGACTGCATAGCAATAGCAATAGCAAGGTGCAGCTTGGTGTAGAAAATAACCTTCAGTTTGGCACGCCATGGTTAAGAATAGGGTGATTGCGAGCCACAGCATGACGCCGCACCCGGGCTGCTGGGACTATTGGTGTGGCTGAGGGATGCATGCCGCCTGTTCTTAATCCAGACGCGCAATCTCCCTCTACGGGCGCGCGCAACGCAGACAACATGTCCAAGTACCGCAGCGATGGGGCCTTTGGGGCGTGGAAAGCAGCGCAATGCAGTGGTGAATGGGGCCCAGCATGTCCGACTGCATTGAAACTGCCGTGATGCAGCAGGAGCCGGGCCCGTGGTCATGTTGCTGGTGGCTTCGCAGCGCGCAATAAGGCACTGTCCACCTGCCAAGGCTAGCGCAAGACGGAAGTCGGATCGCGCCCGGCGAGCAAAGGGCTGAGCGAAGTGCCAACTATTGAGCATCACAGCTCGACTCGACTCCTGGCCGCCGACACACCCACGCCCATTCTTGCGCCCACCGTTTTTCTTATCACGACCCCCATTGCTCCAGCGCCTGCCGCCCCGCCGCTGCCTCCCCTCAGCGCCGCTCTGCTCTGCTCTGCTCCGCTCTGGTACCTAGTCTCTGCCGGCGCTGCACTACGCAATCCCCCGGACGACGCCCAACCCGACCTTCACCAGCCACACGTCGCACACACACACTGGCTTCTCACGCTCCGCCGACCCCTCCTCCGCAGCGCTCGGGAAAGGCTGCCTCTTTGATGAGCGTAACCATCCATGAGTCGCAGATGATGCCCTCGTATGGCGCCGAAGCAACCGACCGCTCTTCCTTTGCACATGCTCAAACATCACCGCCTCCCCCCGCGCGCTCGCCATCGGACCGCTCGCCCCCCAATGGCACCGCTGCCGCGATGAACGGGAAGATGGCCAATGGAATGCAGCCCATGGCAAACGGCCGCCCGGCCAGGCCCGCGAGCATCGACAAGCGCCTGTCCCAGGACGACGCACGTCATGCCCGGAGCAGAGGAGACTACATGGACGCCGACAGCTCCAACACCAAGTCGCTCGACACGCAGAGGCAGTCGAGCGAGCGCCCGAGCAGAGACGACGGCTACTTCGCCTCGATACACAGCAGCAAGACCAAGGACCGCCTCTGTGGCAGCACCACGCACGTCGAGCTCGGCCAGATCGATGCTCAAGACGGCACCAAAGAAGCAAGCAGGGACTTCTATGTTCCGCACGTCGGCTCCGTCTCCCATCCTCCCACGTCGCCGTCGCCGCAGCCCCAACCCGACGAGGGCACGTCCAGTCTGCAGGTACCGAGCCAAGCGCATCGCGTCTCCTCCCCGCCTGCCTTCAACCACAACAACCCCGGCCCCTCTCAACAACCTCATCGTCTGCAGCAACGTCATACCCTCGAGGTCCCCAAGCTGCAAACATCGCGCGCCCGCGAACCCCAGAACAACACCGACGACGTCATCAGCGCTAGTGGACGCTTCTCGCCTTCCACACCGCACAAACGGAGAGGCTCCATGTCGCTTGTGCGTCGGACCACACGCTCCGTCAACTCCGACATGCATCTCGACGAGGTGCCCCAGGACGATGAGGCCGCGCGCTGGGCTGAGCACATCCGCCAGAAGCGAGCAAGCAAGCGGAAGCGCAAGGAGGACGAAGACGAAGACCGCGTCGTGGTAGGCACCAAGGTCGACCAGAACCACGTCAACTGGGTGACAGCCTACAACATGTTGACGGGTATCCGCTTCACCGTCTCGCGAACCAACGCCAAGATGGACCGAGATCTCACTGATGCCGACTTTGACGCGAAGCACAAGTTCTCGTTTGACATGTACGTGCCGGCCGGCTTTCCTTGCAACATCAAGCACCTGCTAGAGTTCATCTCCACTTCGTCTGGCAGACCTCTGTTCTTTGCTTATTCGCACAATACTGACACTTTGACAGAACTGGTAACGAGCTTACTCCTTCCGCCAAATACGACTTCAAGTTCAAGGACTATGCACCATGGGTCTTCCGCCATCTCCGCACTACCTTCAAGCTCGACCCTGCCGATTATCTCGTGTCGCTGACCAGCAAATACATCCTTTCCGAGCTCGGCTCTCCCGGCAAGAGTGGCAGCTTCTTCTATTTCTCCCGCGACTACAAGTACATCATCA